TATCATCTCTGTGATTTGCAATGAAGGTTTTTAAAATATCCATGTAGTTAATACATTGTTTACATGATTAATGCCACCAGCTCCTCAACTAGATATTTATAAATGTATTTTGGAACTGTTTCAGCCTTTGCTATAAAAATGATGTAGAGAGGCACACAGTGAGGTCCACAACGTGTTTGAAAATTATTACATGAATCAATAGCAGCTATGTGTGCCACATTTTCTTTCATTACTAAATGGTTAAATCATAGTCATATCTGATCTTTCAAAGCATATAAATTATCTGTACAGACATTTTGAAGCCAGAGATTTATTATTAAATTTTTTCCCCCACGGCCCTAACTTACAGCTTACAGAGCCAATTTTTCAGCTAACATATTCTTGGGAGAAGGAGAAGGGAGGGAGGTTTCTAGGCATAATGTGGGCATCAGGTTTCTGAATATTTAAAAATAAAGATGAAATGTGTTTATAAAATGTGCAAATGGAGTATAGCAACAATGATGTCTCAAAGCCAGGAAATTTAGAAATTCTGATTTCATTTTCAATCCATTTTCATTTGTTTGAAGAAGAATTTACCAAGTGCCTATAGGGTTCAGGTGCTATATTTTTAAGGAAAACTCACTTCATTGGCTGTGTGCGTATCAGTGTGTCTGTGCCTGTGTGCACACACAAAACCACTACAGATTTCTCTGTGGACTTAAAAAAATTCCAGGGCTCGCTTTTTAAGATTGAACTTCAGTGATTGGTTTTGTTTATTCAATAATTATTGACTAAATTAATTCAGTACATAGATTATATTTTCCTTTTAGATGGAAAGGAAATTTCTTTCTGTTTTGCAGGTTTGAAGATGCTCATAACTTGTTTGATGTGTTTTTTGTAGTGTCCATTTATGGAATTTGGTTTTATGATAAGGAAGAATGCCAAAGAATTGCAGAACTTATGAAAAAGTAAGTGCTGGAAGGATAAATATTTTTTTAGGCCTGGGGCTTTTGTTTGTTTTCTAAGTATATGTCATTACACTGTAATCTTAGCAGGATATAGCTTCTAGCAATCACTATAGCAATCTTTTTCCACAATGATCAGGAAAATATTTAACATTACTTAATAAATGAAAGGCCAAAGAAATGACTTACTACATTTTCCCTAGGTAAGATTTATCATCTAGAGTGACTCAACTCATTTTTTTCTGACTATATGAAATATATATGAGTTGTTCCAGATGGCAATTTTCTTTAATATTTTCCTCATTTGTAAATTAACAATTTTTTGCTTTGAAAAGTTATCAGTATGTTTCAGTAAAAAGAACATTCAGAGCCATCCTAAAAGGCTGTTCCAGATTCTCTAAAATCTTTCCTTTCCTTCCTCCCCCAAATGCTTTCCTGTAACTGTGTATACGCATTTGTAGGGCCTCATAGTTTCCTTCCATGGCTCAAACGGTGAATACTTAGGATAGTCTTTATTTTGAATCTCTTTGGAAATTGCAGAGTTATTATTAGCTTAGGGATCTGGAGACAGTCTCTCCCCCCACCCCCTTTTGTTTCTAGTCTCTTTCTTTTAATCTCATGATTCCCTGTGATTTGTCCTATTCTGCATTTCGGGGAACTTTAAAATTACTGTCTGACTTTTCAACTCTTGGTTTCCCTGATCACATGAACAGGAGGGCCCAGGTAAGCTTGCTTTCTCCTCTGCCATTGCTTGAGTCTTTGATCGGTTCTTGAGCCCTAGGACTGCTCACTGTGAGGCAATTATTTCCCTACTATTTATGGGGATGGGAACGAGCCTCAGAATGAAATGAGTTTCCTACACGTGCTGTGTCTCCACCTGGGACTGGGCTCAACCAAGCACATAGGATGGCCTCTGCCTACATGGTGTGACATTGCAGCTGTCTGCAAAAGAATCAGTTTCCACTTTTAAATCCTGAGGTAATAAAAATAGCTAAAGAGTGACCCCAGGAAAATTAAAAATGGGGAGAACCTTTTTATAAATAAGGCGGATTCCTGAAAATCTAGCTTGTGAGAGTTAATTTTAGGTAACTACCTCAAGTTGCAGATGGTGATTCAGTGTATTCAAACTGATCTTTACTACCATAACAGCTAGTTCCTGGAGCATTCGTGTTATTGTAAATCATGGAGTGGATAATAATAGCAGGATTTCATACAGATTATGAAATATCCTATAGCTCAGCCAAGAGGCCATGTTGAAATTGTCAGCATTCTGCAATAATCATTTAACAGCTTAGGCAGGAAATTGATTTTTACTGGTATTAAACAGCTGATTTAGATGGATTCAGATCCTTTTCCCAGTGAGAATTAAATTTCTTAGTAAATTCTCAGATCTCTTTTACTGTAAACTTATGACAGTAATGAAGAATTTGAGTTGAAAGTCAAAGCACACAAAAGGAAAATGTATTTTTTCATCATCACCAAGGATATGGAAGCAATCTGGTTTTGTGTATTGTTTTCAGGGCAAGCAAAGAATCTTTCTTTGCTCTAAATGGCTTTTTAAATGGTCCCTCATCTCAGAGTTAGAATGGCATCTTCAATGTGTTTCTAACTGCCAGAAACCTATAGGGTTTGAGTTGCTGGAATCAACCTTGCTTTGACTTCAAGGCACTCTGTAATGGGGTGGGGGGTGAGGATTCGGGGTGGAGGGGATCTCTTTGCCATGCAGTTGCCTCAATATATGAAAACACTAAATTGGATTTCCTCAGCAATTAATGATAGTGTCCATTCAAATATACTAATTGAAGAATTGATAAACTTTCTTCGAAAGGGGGCAGTAAGTGAATATTTTAGGCTTTGCAGTCCATACAGTCTCCGTTGCTCCTACTCAGCTCTGCCCTGGTAGAATGAAAGCAAAGCAGCCATAGACAATACAGGAGTGAACATGGCTATGTCTGTAGCTTTCTTTGCAAAAACAGGTGGTGGGCCAGAGTTGGCCTGCAGGTTATAGTTTTCTGGTCCCTGTGCTAGCCTCATATGTGTAGTCACGTGAACCCAGGATCTAAGCTCTCTTTTTCTCTTCCTTAAATTCCTAAGTAGTCTTCTTGCTAATACGGTTGTAATAGGACAAAAACAACTGGGTGAGAAATGGGTTGGTTTTACCCATTTGTGTTGACTTGGTTTTTCTTGTGTGGAATTCCCCTCTGTTTTTTAGCCTAACACAGTATGAGCAGTTGAAAGCCCACCAGGGAGCTGGAGCAAGACTCTCCCCAATGATCCTCAATTCAGGAGAGGGCGCAGAAGTAGATATCTTGCAAATGCTCACCAAGGCCAAAGATGAATACACAAAGGTGAGTTTTTGCCCTTCCTTGTGATACTTAACATACTTAAATTCCACACTGGGATTATTGTTGTTGAGAACTGTATGCTATTCTTTCCATCAAATAAAATTGCATTAAAAACAAAATCTCTTTATTTGCTTTTAGTAGGCAAAAGAAAACTGTTTGCTTTTAAGTGGATTAAAAGGTAGTGTGGTCACTTCTGGCCTGTTGGCTAAGATCAAGTATAAAAGGTAGTCTGAGAAATCAATAGCCTTGATAATAAAAATAGCATCCAGTTAGATGATTTACCAGGATAGAAGACCCCATTTATAGGAGCAATAAATGAATATAAAACTTTTCGTAATAAAATTCACAAGACATGGGCAAAATCTATATGAGGAATATGTTTAAAAACTTCTAAAAGGCGTAAAAATAGATTTGAACAGATGGACATATATGCCCTGTTCTTGGATAAGAAGATTTAACATAAAGCTCTCAGTTCTCCTTAGATCTCTAAATTTAAGGTGCTCCCTAAACAAATACCACTGGTTTCTTTTCTTCCTCCTCCTTCTTCTTCTTCCACCGCTCCCCCCCCCACCCCCAATCTAGATAAGCTCAGTCTAAGATTCATGTGGGAAAATGAGCAAGAAAGAATAGCTCAGAGAACCCTGGCAAAGAAGAACAGTATTGGCAGGGCCTAGAGGTGGGAGATATAGGGAGGGCAGACAGGTAGAGGATGGAACAGGCTCTAGCTGATGCTGAAGCATTGAAGCCTGAACATTGAAAGCAGATGGCTTTGGTGGTGTTGATACATAAACAGCCAGATAGACCAATTAAACAGATTTAAGATTCTAAGTCTATAAGTAGACTCAAATGTATATGAAATCTAGAATAAATGATCCCAAATCAGCTATTTGAATGAATTCCTAAATAAGTGGTATTGGGCAACTTATAGCCATTTGGAAAAATACAAAATCGAATCTGTACCTCACATCATATACCAGGGTAAATTCCAAATGTAACAGAAGTTTAAACGTAAAAATATAACTATCCAGGTACCAGAAGAAAACTCAAATGTATTTCTTCGTAATCGAGGAAAAGGGGACTCTTTCTAACTATGCCTTAAAACCCAAAAGCAATTAATTCAACTACATGAAAAATTTTTGAAAATGAACATTTTATAAGGTTTAAAAACAACACAAGCAAAATATAAAAAGATATAAAGCCAATTCAGAAAAAAATATTTACAATAAAGTAACAGGAAGAGGTTTAATTTCCCTATTTTAGAAAGAGCTCCCAAAAATTGAGAAGCAAGGGATTGAACACTTTCTGGAGAAATGGGCAAAAAATAAAATTAAGAAAAAAAAAATAAAAATCTTAGAATTTAGAAACTATCCAAAAGAAATATATATAACTGAATATCATGTTCTGACACAGTTACTTAGAAAAAACCTAGCATGACTTTGAAACCCAGTGTTTCCTTTTGGTGGGTTATATTTTAAGGACAAAAAGTACTGCAAGAAATTACAAACTTCACTAAGTGGTTTTATTGTTAGTAGCAATGTTGACATTGTAATTTTTCAACTGTTATGGATATGATAAATAAGAAATTATATAAATGTGGTTAGAACCAAAACCTTAGTGTAAGAGAAAAAAATCAAATCAATTAAAATTGTGTAATATTAAGTGGAAATATCAGAATTAGTTCATATTTTGTTTTTTAACTATAGAAACAAAAAGTATAAAGACTTCATCATTCTTGCCCTGAAAAGACATAGAAATAAATGACAATTCAGTAGCTATATGCAACTGTATTACCCAGATTGTTATTTTTAAATAATTATTTCCTCCTAAAATGTATCAGGGCTCTTTAAAGAAATTCCTGATAACAGGTCTGGACAGTAAAGTCAAACTAATAGGGTCATGTAAAAAGGACGTAGTAATCATGAAAAGACCACTGACCAAAGCATCAGATTCTAGTATCAGTGGGAATCACCGTAGTAGTTTGAAACACACAAAATATGTAAAAACCTATGAGTTGCTGGTGATGAGAGAAAGAGATAGCAAGCAAGCCAAAAACATCACACAAAACAAAACATAATACAGTAGAACCTTTATAGTTAACCACATCCCTACACTGACCACCTCCCTAAGTTGACCTAATTTTCATAGGCCAGACATGCACTACATGTACATATCAGTACAGCAGACCTAGTTCCTTATGTTGACCATCTCTGTATGTTGACCAGTTTGTTACAGTCCCTTTCAGAGGGTCAGCTTACAAAGGCTATACTGTAATTGGTTATCATTTGAAGGTGCCGAGGTACCAGCTCCTTCCTCTGAAAACTGATAATTATTGAGACTAGATTAAGTATTTATCCTGCCTACCCAGAATGGACTATAGTTCAGAGAAACCAAACAGCCCTGGGCGATGAGGGAAAGTTCTTCTCTACCAAAGAATTCCAACTAGTAAAAGTAGAGGGAGTAAAGGAACTTAAAAACAACCTAGTAAAATAATTGACTCAGGCAATGATCAGCCGTAATGTTAATGCTATGACAAAGGTAGGTGGAAACCTGACCGTGGAAGGAACAGACTGCCTCCCTCTGAGCCGCTCTGGTTGGATAACCAGGTATGGTGACCTCCCGTCGTGATACAGATGTGAGATGTACACAGCACCACCTTGACCACCTTGACATATTCTTGCCGAAAGGTTGATCCTGTATCTAAGCCTTGAGCTCTAACTTTCTGGTTTATAGAAAGTGAATGGGAATGGGGCAGGTGGAAAAAGAAATGGTGCCACAAGAGAACAATCAGAAAAATCCTGAATGAAGCGGGACTAATGGACAATTGACCAAGTTTCTGCAACATACCTTTGACTTGAATGTTAGACTGTGAGCTTCGGGACTACAAAGAATATCCTGATTCATCTTTATATCCCTGGTCATGTGCAGAGTACCTCACATGTGCGGGAACTAAATAATGGTTGCTGAATGAAGGAAGGAATATGAATGTGGATAAGCCACAGTTTCATTATCCCTCTCTCTCGTAGTGCCTGGACAGAGATACCTTAATCCCAGCTTCAGACAATAGCAACTATTTTTGCATTAGTATTTTTATTTAATTCTTCAAAATTCATTAAAATGTATCCTAATGCTAGTCACATCATTAGATAATTATACCTTATTCATTGTACTGTAGTAGGCTCATTAAAGATTAGTCTTTGAAAGGTGACAGTTCTGCCCCCTAGGAATTTAGGTTCAATGAAAACATAACAGTGGCAAATAAGTAATAAATATAAATATTAAACAAAAAAATGTTTTTTCTCTCCCTCTCTTCTCTCAACACAAACACATCTGTGCACACACATACTATATTGTTTGTATTTTTTCCATGGTATGCTACAGTGTTTTGACATCTTAAAAATCTTTCTGACTGAGTGGAGACTGCCCCTCTCAGAACCAGCCAGTTCTTAGAGACCACAAAGGAGTCAGCATGGAGTGTGCCTCTCTCACACACACTGACCAATCCAGAGCTACACCTGCTTTGTCTGGCTGGTACTATATTCCTCTGCCTTAATCTCTTTCCAGCCAGGCCAGGTTCCAGGCAACTACTGAAGTTATTCAGACTAGCCAGTCCTCAGCTGTTCACTGCCCTATCTTGCCTTTCCCAAGGAAATCCCAATAAAGGCACTAACCTATGATCTCCTGGAAGCTTCCATGTATGGCCCCCACGTAGTGTGCCATGCCTCTTGTTTCTTGTACCTGTGAGTATAATAAATGTATTGTCTTGACACTCTTTTGTGTCTCCTCTGTAGCCTCCGCTGAGTAACCATCACATAAAAGAACACACTCATATGTGGTTGTGAAGATTTAATTTAGGTCATCACTTTATACTATACCTACAACTTGAAATAGCTTGCCCCTCATTTTGTTTGCCTTTCAGAAACTGTATATCCTTTAAGGCCCAGTAAAAAATGCCACTTTTTTTACGTGAAGTTTTCCCAGATGTGTTCAGTCAAATAAATTATTCTTTCCAATGAACTGCCCAGCCTGTTACTATTTAGAACTTATTTTGTTCTCCGTTTATTACACGTAAGTCAACTTCTCTCACTACGCTGTAAACTCACTGGAGTTAAAACAATGTTCTATTCATCTTTATGCCCCCACAGATTTGTTGTTATACTGTTGACATAAAATGCAAATGTTTAATTAGACTGTCCTTTCCTCTAAAAATCAAATACATGTTATATACATAATGCCCATTGCTCTAGCTGTGAGATAAATAATAGAAGAAATTATTCCTTCTGCCATTAACAGCCAGATCTGTGTTAGCAACTTTCAAGTATACAAATATATTGTTATTAACTGTAGTCATCACAATATACAATAGACCTTCTTTTAAATTAAATCATAAACACGTAGATCATGAATACATTTATGCAGTACAATGTGCTGATTTCATATAGAATTAGGAACGCTTGCATCACACTGGTTTGTATATACCTCATCTCATTTACTTAATTATTGTGTTAACACAGTTAAACACTATACTAATAGATCCAACATGTACCCTTGCATTATGCACCATAGGTGTGATCCCACCATTCACTCTCCCTCGATCTGATCTCCTTCCCCCTTCCCATCCCCTTCTTCATCTTGGGCCATAGTTGTGATCTATTCTTCATATGAAAATGTAAGTGATTGTAAATTGGTTTCATGATAGCATTTACTACATTGAATATTGTTTCTTCCATTCTTGAGATACTTTACTAAGTAGGATATGTTCTGGCTCCATCCATGTAAACGTAAAGGAGGTAAAGGCTCCATCTTTTTAAAGGCTGTATAATATTCCATGGTGTACATATACCACAATTTATTAATCCACTCATGGGTCGATGGTCACTTGGGCTTCTTCCATAACTTGGCTATTATGAATTGAGCTTCAGTGAACAATCTGGTGCATATATCTTTGTTGTCAAGTGATTTTTGGTCTTTTGGATATACACCTAGTAGAGGAATTGCAGGATTAA